GTTCAGTATTCTACTGGAAAACATTTTTAGTAAAGAAAAGTTTCAAATATATAAGAAAATTTAATTACATTGTTAAGAGGCTCAAAATAGTATATAAATTTTATCTCTGGCAATAGGATTTGGATCATTTTCTTTCTTTTTTTAAATGTTTCTATACTAGCAAAATTGAATTATGCACATTGTAAATTTGCTTCAAGGTCACTAGCACCATAAAAATAAATAAATAATTGAATTTTTCTTCAAAAACAATATTACTTCTACTTTTAGTTATTATGTAGCAACAGCTGACAATTTCATATCTTGGAAAACCTGGTTTAATGTTTTGCTATTTATGGTTTGTGTGCATGTACACAAGGCCATGTGTGTATCTCTTTATTGTTCACTGCTGTGGCCTCCAGGTTAGCTGACATGAGAACTTCCAGGAATTCTCCTGTCTCTGCCTCCTATCTTGCTGTAAGAGCACTGAGATTATAGGCAGGCACTACTGCACCTGGCTTACAGGGGTTCTTGGGATTCAAACTCAGGTCCTTATACTTGCACAATAAATTCTTTATCCATTGAGCCACTTTTCCAGCCTGGAAACCTTGTCTGTAAAAAATCATTAGCTTCAAATTAGTTTATTAATTTAAATAAAACCTGAGTATAAAAAGTTTGTACTTTGTGGAAGCCAACAAAGAACGTATTAAATGTTTCTAATTTTTTTTTACAACCAAATCACTGGATGTTGTTATGAAAGGAATTGTGTATCATCAAGGAAACATCATCGCAGAGCATCAGTAATTGAGGCAGAGTTAATATAGACACTAAATCTTCAGTTACAAGGTTTAATATATTTGTCATTTAAACAAGGTTAGAATGTAAGCTAGAGTTATAAAATACAATTTAGGATATAAACTTTTCCATGAATTATGGTATTTGTACATTTTCTGATATAACAATGAGATGTTTTATTTTGGTTGTTTGTAGCCATCCATTTGGACAATGATGCATTAAAACATTCAAAAAGAAGATTACACACACACCCCTCTTCTAATAAGTTACTTAGCAACCTAGGACCCTAACCTCCAGGTACCATGCACATATCCCCAGAGCTGCACAGCCTACTCTAAGAAAAGAATAGGTTTTTCCTTCTTTTAACAATCATCAAGCATAGATTCTGTTCAGATGTGTTCCCAGCATATGCAGGTAGAGGACAGCAGTGCAGATCCAGCTTACATTAGTGTGGGCTACATGCAATCTAAGGCACACTGTGTTCTCTAAGTGATGTTTTAAAGGAGAATCCACTACTTATCATCTTATGTCTATGCATATTTGGTGTGCATAAGACTAAAGTCATATGGGAAGGGACATGTTCAGTAGAGAAATGGTTATATAACTTGTCAATCAAACTAGAGAACCACCCAAACCATGCCCCTTAGTAACCAAAGTCTTCCTTCTTATGAACCCCATAAAAGAAAAACCCAAACAATAATCTGGGCACTTGAGTACCTAAAGCATTTCTTTCTGTTTTGTTTAGAATAAACTTTCTTTCCTGATTTTGCAATGTATGTAAGTCTCTATTTCAGCTATTTGAGTAAGAGTCCAAGAATCTGGACATGCCTGACCCAGAACCCAGCCACTGATGACTGTAACAATATTGCTTTAATTCTTTAGAGCAATGGTTAGAAAACAAACAGGTCTAACAATGCCTTTTCTAATCTTTCTGGTGACTGATGTCCCCAGATCTGACTGCCTATGCATCTGTTTGCAGATTGTTCCAGATAATTCAGGAAAACAAAGATAAAGAGAGGCAATGAAGACAGATGGGGCATCAAAGAACCAATCTAGGAGTGAATATTTGCAGCCTGACCTAATATACTTAGAGCAGCATCATTAATGGTTCTAATTACTTTTTTCCATGCAACTGAAGTGCATTCCTAACCCCAAAACTACCAGTGCTTTTCATGCCCAAATTCTTACCTCTCAGAGAGTTTTTACTAATTTATTTCTCATTTGTTCTATTTTTAAACTATTGTGTTAGGGGCTGGAGCTATGGCTCAGAAGTTAAGAGCACTGGCTGCTCTTGCAAGAGACTGGGGTTCAATCCCTAGTACTCACATGATGACTAACAACCATCTGTAACTCCAGTTGCAGGGGAATCCAGCATCTTCTTCTGATTTCTGTGGCATTGTACAGCATGAGTGCACTTACATACATGCAGGAAATACACTCATACACATAAAATAAAAATAATATAAAATGTTTTTTAAAATATTTGTTTTTAGAAGTTGTTCATACATTCTGTATGTTCTTTTAGACCTGTGAGGAAAGAATAAACACATATCCTTTAGAGATTTCAAAAACATATTTAAAACAAGTGGGTGACAAAAAGCCCAGGACCCAGTGTGGGATACCTCCCTTCAAGTTGTTGGTTGGGGGATATGAGAGACCCCCAAATAATACAAGCTATTGACATTACTCTCATTTGCCTATTCAAACTTGATAAGACCCTATTGTTAGCCAGGCATGGTGGTGTATGACTCCAATCCTCACATTTGGTAGGCAGAGACTGGCAGAAGGGGGTGGGTCTTTGTGAGATGGAGGCCAACCTGGTCTAGGGGCTGCTGAGTAAAGAAAGTCATCAATAGTCTTTTCCAGCTGTGAACCCTATGAGCTACATTAATGACTTCCTGCCCCCCCACAAAAAAAGCCCATAGATACAATAGTGTTATGGGGTAATTGACTACTTTCTTATTGGATGTAAGGCCTGGTCCACAGGGGGAAACCAATGCTTGGTGTGAATATGGCCAAGAACCCATAGCTAGGAAGCCCATAGGCCTTAGGGGTGAACTTATTACTAGCATTTTGCTAAATAGGCATAGTATTAAGCTCTTTCTGAATACAGATCTCTCCACCCATACGTTAGTACAGCTCTCTATTCTTATTAGAGAAGCATATTTGTGCAGTGGGTAGTGGTTAATACAGAAAATCACGACTGGTCAAAGCAGAGAGAACAAGTGTCATTTATATTGCACCCTTTCTCCTCAAGACTCAGGAAACATCATGGAAGAGTAAGCAGAAAGATTTTAAGAGCAAGAGGGTGGGGAGGTCTGTGGTGAAACTGTCATCTGGACATGATAAGACCATTGCACTCATGAACTCATGGCAACTGTGGTTGCTTGTATAAGACCAAGACAGTCACTGTTCCAGCATGGATGTAAGAAGGACACACAAGTCCCCACCCCTAAATTAGGAGCTAAGGACAGGGGCTGGCTTCTGGGGAAAGGTCAGTTTTCTTTAAGGGTGTGGTCCTTGGTGGTCTGACCATGCTCCAGTGATGCCCCCAAGTGTATAAGTGTATGAGCAGCACAAATTTGACTCAGTGGGCTATACTAAAAGAAAGACATGAATTTGGGAGGGGGAAATGGTGTAGAAACCAGGAAGAGGAGGGAAGCAGGTATAAACAGTCAAAATACATTGCATGAATGTATTAAATTCCCAAATAATAAATAATATTATATTAAAAGGTAGGGATTTAACAAAGATATTAAAATGTATTGCTATAATGTATGTGAATAATGCGACATAGTTCATTGTACCTAAAATATTCTAATTTACAAGTAACTAAGCATAAGTTAATGCTTTTAGGCTTGCTATATTATTTCCAAACTACACACATAACAGCCTTTTGGATATTGTATTTAAAAAGTAATTTCTGATTTTTCTTTTTCACATGTAATTTATTCTTCTTCCCAAGAGAAGCATTATGATTTCAGGACTTCATAATGCATTAACAAGCCTATCCAATACAGTGACTAGCCTTCCATGTTGCTGGTGTAGTTACTGCCATGCTTAGTCCTCTTTGTGTTTACAAAGGGAACAGAGTTTCCAATTGTACTCACATTTGTATGAAATGCTATTCCAGCACTTGTATCTCTACAGAATACAATCCAGATATTGCTCCTAGGCACTGAAGGCAAGCCTTCCAAGTCAATAGGAAGAGTTGTGCAGTCCAACTTCTCCTGGGAGTGAGAAGTGGCAGGTCCTCCCAGAAAAGTTAAGATGCTCCTAGAAGTATGGATAGCTTAGGGCAAGAACCCAACCCTGAGATGCTGAGGTCTGGAACTTAACAGCAATAGTTTCTGGCATGCTGCTGTTCTAGACTTGTGTAGGGCTGGATCTCAGATTGTGCTTGTGTATTAATACTGATGAACCTTTGAAAGGATTGAGGCTGTTTGGTCCTAATCCTTCCATAAAACTTCTATGAATATGATAAAGAACGGTAAACAAAAGGAACAGGAGCTCTATCTTTTACTACTTTCAGTAAACATTCTGTGTCTTCGTTCCACCCTTGATGACAACCCTTGGGTGAAGGCATGAGGGAGGCAGCTCTAAGGTGTCCATTAGTAGTTGGTGGTCCAAGAGAAGAACAGCACCAGTGCCAAGGGTGAATGCTGCTTTGATTCCCACTTCAGAGCAGCAGTCTTTTTGCTGTTCGTGTTTTGGCTTATCCTTGTTCTTTTTCCTAACGTTTACTAGGTGAGTCTAGCCCTTCATCACCTCTTAACTTCAGCAGCTCATCACTGAGGCGTCACAGCTGAACTTTCTGCAGAGACTGGGGTTCCAAGATTTCAGGAAGTTCTTTGTATTCCCCTTCTTGAAGCACAGACACATGGCTCTCCAGATGCCGAAAAACTTTCTAATCTTCACACTTGTTTTTTGCCATCAGTCTAGATACTGATTTCAGAATTTCAGAGCAGTGAACAAATACAGGTTCTCCTCCCAGCCTGGGAGATGCCTTTCCTAAGTCTCTGCACTGTCCTGTCCTTGACTCGGCTTACAGGATTCACACTAGCGTCTGGGAACTCTTGGGGCTCTGCTGCTGCCTCTTCTGCCTGCTCTGTGCTCTCCGCGTGAGCGCTGGATTATTCCAGTTTTTGAGCATGGCAGATTTCCACTGGATGACATCATGGGAGCCCAGTGAGTGCCGGCTCGTGGAGAGGGACGGAGAGAGGGAGGAGGAGCAGAGGAGGAAAGAGGGCTGGGGAGCGTAGCCAGAGCTGGGCTGCCTGCCACCAGGCTCACGTTCGCGAGCTCGAGAGCTGGGGAGGAGTGCACCTCCAACCACTGACAAAGGATGGGAGGATGCCGGCGCCCCGGGATGCTGGCTGCGCGCAGCCTGGCGGCCGCCTGAACCACTTCATCCTCCCACGGTGAGTGATAGCAAAGATCATTCAATCAGCGCGGAGGAGAGTCCTCACTCTCTTCGGTTTGTGGTCCTGGGAGGCTTGTCTCTGCTCCAGAGAGCGGGACTGGGCACAGCCCTAGCCCGGAGCTCAGGCAGCAGGTGCCTCTGCCCAGGTGGTTCCACGCAGGAGCGCCTGGACTGGTACTGGTACCCAATCCGCTGGTAGCAGGCGCTAGGAGCTTCTTGGGTAAGCGCAGGCTGCCCCAGTCCGCTGCCTGGGGTAGTTTCCTTGGTAGACCCTTGATGGATAACAAGTGAGCCGCACCCCTGTCTGAACGCACCGAATTCGAATCAATGCCAGTGACTTCTTAGGCTCAATCGCTCGCAGTGCTTGAGCGAGAGAGTACTTGATTACCCAGCAAAGGGAGCGCACCATGGAAGGCTGAGCGCTCAGCCTTTGTCTTGGTTTTAATGCTGATGCGCGCAAACCTGATTGCAACTGTTGGGTCCAATCCTGGTTCCCTGCACCAGCCCGGTTGGGCGAGAGATGCCACTGTGTTCCCATGGCAGGAGAGGTGGAGAGCCAGGGTTAAGGACGCCAGGAGGGTCCTGAGCTCACGGGTGAGTGTCGCAGTTATCCAGGTGTGGAGCGGGCTTCTGGAGCCCTAGGAAGTGAAGTGGCCAGTGAAAACCCACAATCGCCTAAGTTCTATCCCAAGTGGGGCGAGGGAAACAACAAACTTAGCGAAAATGATTCTCGCTCTTTTTTTTTTTTTCCTCCTGCTTTCGGATGCGCCTGTTGTGGGTATTGTCTGTGGTGGAGCGAATGGAGGCAAAGGCAGGTCCAGTGTGCTATTAGAAAGCGCCAGGTTTTCTCGGCAATTCCTTTTGTTACTCCAGAAGAGCTTTGCTTGCTAAATAGGGTAAACAGTACTATCTTTACTATGATGTAGCTTTGTGGACTTAAAGCGATTCAGAAGCTGCCCAAGTGCCTTAGTTTGAGAGTATAGCACCGCGTGTATCAGCTTACAATACCCACACCTGCTGTCTTCCTGCCGGTGGGGCACAAGCTTTATCAATGAATTCCTCCTGTTTGGAAAGAATCTAGTTTTCGCACCTTGAGCAAATGATTAGGAATCTACCCTGCGCCCCACCCCCAACCCAACCACCTTGTGCAAAAGATGGAAATTTTACTACTTTGAGTTCACTTGCTTCCAAAACGAGAGTTTCCAACCACTGCAATCTGAAATATTTAAAAAATTTAATATCTAATACATATTCCTGAACTTAGTGTATAATAAATAATCACTGAACAGCAAGGAGGTTCTAGACATACAAGTTGGGTACCCCAGTCCCCAAGATAATTACAAGACACAGGAATAAAGCAATGAAAGTTATAACTTCAAGGATCATTTTATACTGTCTTTAGAAAGGTTGTTTTCCTTTAGATTTTCTTTCTTTCTTTCTTTCTTTCTTTCTTTCTTTCTTTCTTTCTTTTCTTTCTTTCTTTCTTTCTGTTCGTTTAAAGATACCTGGTCCTAACGAAGGTCTTTGAAGACACAAGATCAAAATATATTTTCTTCATTTGTGATGCCTCTCTGATAACCCTTTCAGTTCAAACCTGATAGAAAATTTTTGGAATAATGAATGTAGAAATGAAGAGGGATCTGACATACTAGAGGGAGTTTTATAAATATGAACCATGGAGCAAGGAAGGCTATAAGAGACTGTTATTTTGATTTTGGAAAAGCTCATTCTGGGTTTTACGTGCTCATCTCTCCTGGGAAGTGTATAATTAACTGTTTGATTATGTGAATCTATGTGAAGAGACAGATAATTTGACTAAAGAGAGTTTGTCTTTATCCAGGACTCCTGGGGTTGGCAGCAACATTTTTCTCCTGTGATTGAAAAAGAATGTTTATTGTGTTATGTGTTTCTTGACTGTCACAGAGGGCTCAGTCTATTTCTTCAGTTTCCTTTCTAATTTTCTTGTACTCTTGTCTTTATAGTAAAGCATATCTAGCTCTGTGTTAAGGTTCTTACAGCACCTGTTGCTCATGTTGACTCCTTCCCTTTGATGGTAAGATGGCAGAAACTCCCTTTAAAGCTAGCTTAGCAAGCATATGATCTGCTGATGTGCTTCTGTAGTGGGGTACACATAAACATATACACTGACCTAAAATATATGATAATTCTGATCAGACAGTCAGAAATTACAGCGTAGGTCATTTTGTGGCATTTGGTTTATGTTTTTTCATAAATGATATTACCTTTAAAAATAAGATGCTTTATCAGTCTTACAGGTAAATAAAATGCACATCAAAAAAAGATTATATATCTAAAATATTCATTTAAAACATTTTATCCCAGAAAGATGACAATCTCTCAGCATTTTACTGCAAATGCATAGGACTATGTTAGGACTATCTTCATAAAATGTGTCTAACAAATAGGATACAGTTGAGAGGAAGTACAATATTATTTTTTAAAGCACATGGGATAAAAATGGCCTTGAACTAGAAACTCTTCCCCTTAAATTCTGTAATGTGTTTCACAAATACTTTGGCTAATTCACTATATAAGGACTCTTAATTGGGAAAGATGAGAGATGAGGAAGAAGTTGCCTTAGAAGACAGTATCAAAGCCACAGCACAGTGCCAAGAGCAGACACCAGGGATGCTCCAGAGGTCATGGGAAAGAGCTTTTCTCTTGCTGTGATCTTTCAAAAAGTCACTTTAAAGGAGTAGAGCTTTATTTTGACTCACAGCTCAGAGGAATACAGTCCATCATGCTGGGGAAGGCATGGTTTCAGGCTCACAGCTGGGGCAGACTGGAGGTTGCTCATCAGTGGTTATGTCAAGTTAGCAGTCAGGAAGCAGAGAAAGGGAAAGCTTGTGCCCATCAGATTTTCTTCTCTTTCACCTTTTATTCATTTTGGGTCCCAGCACATGGGATGGTGCCATCTATGTTTAAGGTGAATCTTCCCTCATCACTTAAACCTCTCTTGAAGCATCCTCACACACACACCTGGAGCATATCTACTAGATGATCTTAAATACAGAGAAGTTGACAATGAAGATGAATTATCATATGCATTTTGTCAGAACACTGGAAAGTTTCCAAGAAAAGATGGTATATAGGATTGAGTTCATATTTTTAATGATCTCTTGCTTTTCATTGTTCCAGTCGGTTGATTTAACAGATTCTTAAACATCTTCAGTACGTGAAATTTCTTCCACTTTCCTTCAGGCAGAGTTCTATCTTGAACTCAATCAGAAGATTATCTTATGGCCTCTCCATAAAGATATCATCTGGCTTGTCTAGTTTAAGGATGCTTATGGATCACAGAACATTATGGTTGTAATTTTTGTATAGTCCTTTGATATGGAAATTGGTTATTCAAACTGTGGTGGAAAGCTTTTAGTAACTTAGTTTCTTCTGCAATGATAAAATAAAACAAAAGCCAAATAGCCTTTTAAAATGCTAATAAGGTTATGCTTATAAAGGTATATAGTTTTAATTTTTTATTGTATTTATTTATTTTTATTGTTTATTTATTGTGTGTGCCCACACGCCACAATGTGAATGTGGTCAGAGGACACCTTGTGGGAATTGGTTCTCTCCTTCTACAAGGTTGGTTCCAGAGATTGAACTCAGATCATCAGAATTGCAACAACTGCCTTTACCTGATGAGGACCCATTTCATCAGCCCAAATACGATATGTTTTTTAAAAAATTTTATTTTATGTGTATGAGTGCATTGCCTGCATGTATGTGAGTGCACCCGTGTTGTGCAATGCTGCAGAGGTCAGAAGAGGGCTTCGATTCCCCTGGAACTGGAGTTAAGGATGGTTCATAGCTGCCATGTGGGTGCTGGGAATCAAACCCGGGTCCTCTGCAAGAGCAGTCAGTGCTCTTAACTGCTGAGCCATCTCTCCAGCCCCAAATATGATATTTTAATGAATGAGTACAGAAAATATTAATGGAGTTTTAAAAAATGTGTATCTTATTTTATGTGTATGAGTGTATTGCCTGTATGCATATAAGTGCACCCATGTCCTGCCGTGCCCATAGAGGTCAGATGAGGGTGTGAGATCCCCTGCAATTGAAGGTACAGACATGTGTTAGCTGCCGTGTAGGTGCTGGAAATTGAACCTGGGTCCTCTGGAAGAGCAGCCAGTGCTCTTAAGCACTAAGCCATCTCTCCAGCCCCTTAACAGAGTTTTTATTTTAAACAAATCGATTAAAGATAGTATATTAGTCAGAGTCTTCTAAAGAAACATAATTTATATATATGCATATATATATTATATGACTTATTAGATTGGCTTACATGATACAGTTGTCATAATCCAACAATGACTGTCTCACCCTGGAGAGGCTAAGAATTCTGTAGTTGCTCAGTCCGTGAGGTTGGATGTCTCAGCAGTCCAAATCTGGCAGAGAAGGCTGGAGGATTTAGAGAGCTACTGTCTTCAGTCTACACTGGAACTCAGGGAAGCTGGTTCTAATATCAGGGAAGGAATGCAACAGCAATAGGATTGATGGACTTGCCAGCGAGAGTGAAGGCAAGCAGGAAAAAGTTTCGTTCTTCAGCTTCCATTTATCTTCCTTCTGTGCTGCCACCAGAAGGTGCTGCCCACATGTAGGGTGGGTCTTCCCCTGCTTCATTGTAATCTGAACAAGAAAGGCACAGGAGCGCCCTGAGGCTTGCACTTTAGTTGAGTTCAGATCTAGTGAGGTTGACATCACACATATTTTGAGACAAATTCTTTACAAGTCATTGGAATACATGAGCTACATTTTGTAACTTAATGTGCTTCTCTATGCTATCAACAATTACTTGCCTACTTCATCAGTTCCAAATTATGGAGGGAGGAAGTAAGCATTTCAGCCTTGAACTTGTGTCATTGAGGATAGCTCTCAGAATGTCTTTGAATGCTATTTCATTTTATGATAGCTTCTGCTTTGCCTGGCTCCCTGGCAGAGGGACAGTGTTAACTTATGACAGTGATTTGCAAAACA